GTTCAAACTTTTATGCTCTACAGTCAGATTCCAAAGCTAATGGTGGTTAGCATCTTTAAAATGGATTTAAGACAAGCATGTTTAAAGGTGAGAAAGATAGAGCCTAAGTAAAAGTGCCAAGAAAAGGTATGTGATCCCAATATTTAAATGAGATTTAAGCATAACATTTATGCCAGATTAGCTATACATCTATACTGCCCAGGGAGCTGTTTAAACACAAATTCTCAGGACCTACCTTAGACTTATGGAATCAGCATTCCTGGGAAGGACCCCCAGAAAATCTGAATTTTTAAAATTCCCAGATGATTCCAACATGCAACCACATTTGGAGTCTATAATCTGAAAGATGATTACAAAGGGTAAAGAGGTATAAAGCAAAATGTTAAATATTATACACAGAGAACTGTAAATACACAAAGACTGTTTACAGTCTCTTCCTGTGTCTGCATTCTTATCTCACCTAGGACATGAAGAACATGACCCTCTCCCTGAATTCTGATGACAGTGAGCCAAAATATTACCCTGTAGAAGTTCTATTGAAAAATCAAGAGCTGCCTGAGGATGTGAACCCTGCCAAAAAGGAGGTGAGGAGCTGTCAGAACTGTGTCTGATGCAAGTGGACCTCTCTGTGAGTGAATGGCCTAGGAGAGTTCAGGCACATTGGAGATACTCAATAAACGTTTCAGCTACCCAATAGCTCGAGCCAAAAATCCAAGGCTCATTCTTGATTCTCAGCTCCCACAGCAATCCATCAGTCTTGGCCCACTCCTCCCCACTTCTCTACTGCCAGCCTAGTCTGAGCCACCATGGATGACTGCAATAGTCCCTGACTGGGTTCTACCTCTGTCCCTAGAATCCATTGCCCACATAACAGCCATGAAAAGATCTTTTGAAATAGGTGACACTCCAGCTTAAAACATCTCTAATGTCTTCCCACTTAGTATGAAGCCTACAATCCTTTCCATGGTCTCCAAGGCCCTACAGTCTGGCCTCTACCCACCTCTCTGATTTTCCATCTTAAATATCATTACCTTCTTCATTTACTACCCTTCAGCCAGTAGTTGCTTTCCTATTCCTCCAACATGCTCATCCCAGCTTCTGAGCCTTTATGTGTGCCTCTTCCTAGTCATCACAGAGCCAGCATCTTCTCATTTAGGTATATTTCCAGGTCAGCAGGCTCCCCTGACCACGTGACTAACACTGCCTCCCTCCAGTCCCTTTGTACTGGTTCATTATCTGTCTTCCCCTCTAGTAAAATGCTTAAGAGCAGGATCTTGTCTGCCTTGTTCACCATTGTACCCTCAGCTTTTTGACACCTAAAACAGTGCCTGGCAGATAGTAGGTATTACATTTTCATTGAATGAATATATTCATGGTACTGATTTTCCCACTGAGTGGCTTGACCTGGGAAGGGCCTCTGGATTTTTACACAATGTTTTATCTATCAACTCTTAAGGTATCTGGACAGCAACCTTCTTGAAAGCAGAGGTCTATCTTAATAATCTTTACTTAAATACAAAATATTCCTGTCAACAAATAAATGTTAGAAAAATTTTATTCTCCCAACAACACCCACCTGATCTTACATTTGAAGATTTCTGGAGAAAAATGGTAGTTAAGGGCGTAAAGGCAGTCCATCAAAATTGACCATCTATAATTCACTCACAATATATAACTGATCTGTTGTCCCTCTGGCAAGAAACTGATGCCAGCTGGGACCATGAGAGCACGGAATCCAGTCAGTTTCTTCCACAGGCCAAAATGGGGTTCCACAACCTGACGACTTCACCAACAAATAATTTAAATCTCGTAGTTTCTGAAAAATGCATTCTGCTCCCCACTTCATGCATCAGTCTAGTACTCCCTCTTCCCCTCACCCTCCCTACCTCTGTTGGCACTAATAGTTGCCTTGTCTTCTAACCAGAAACTTTATTTTCTCTCGTAGAATTACCTCTCTGAACATGACTTTGTTTCTGTGTTTGGCATCACAAGAGGGCAGTTTACTGCTCTACCTGGCTGGAAACAGCTCCAACTGAAGAAAGAAAAAGGGCTTTTCTAAAGCATGAAAGAATATGCCTATTGCCAAGATCACAGGTGTAACCAGATAGTGCCAATATTAGGGGAAAAAAGTTATCTACCAGTTTTTGCCTAACATTCAGCTACTTAGATACAGTAGGGTCTGCAAATCACAGCATGTTCTCCATTTTTTCTCATCCTTGTATTCCTTAATTGTTTTATAGTTAAGATGTTAACCATCCAATTTTTGGTTTTTGTGACCTTCTGGCTAAAAGCCTCAGGAGAAAGCACTAAAACTGCATGAATCTGGAAAAAAAATCCAAAGGTAACAAAAAAATTAAGCATAAAACATGTAATACTGGTACCAGGATCTAAGCTTGTTTTAATTTTAAGATAGGCATTTCTAAAACCTAATTAACCCACAAGTCATTGAAGTTATTCACAAACATACCCCAAAGGTGAAATCCAAATGCCCAGATCTGTATGTACCAGGACATTTTAACTTTTCAAATAAAGATGTATATGAGCAAATGGAGTTCTGAAAAGTATTTGGGTTTGCCTGTTCTGATCATTATTCTGTGTTAGGAGAGATGTTTCAGTACTGGGGAACTGAAGTGGCACTGTTGAGTGAGTTCTCTGGATCACTGGGCTACTCTACTTCCTTTTCTGGCACAAGAATGTCAAAATCTGCCTTACAGCTATCCAGGAAACCACAGTGCCACCCACCCACACCCCATTATCCAAAAGAGAGAGAGGGCTGTTCATTTCAGTAATGAAGCCAGAACCAATGTGTATACAACTGCAGAGTCCCTTCAAAGCTTGCTTCAGACAGCAACAAATGGACCATATTTTCCAGACAACTCTTAATTTTGCATCAACAATTCCAAAGGAATCCATGTGGCAGAGGCAGTGTAGCTGGGGAAGTTCCAGGGCAGAAGGATAGTCCAAGCATAGCACAAAGTGAAAACAGAACAGGATAGTTCTGCCTAGGAGTAAGCTAGAATGGGTGAGCTAGAAATTTTGGGGGCCCCACAATAAATCTATGTTAAAAGTAACACAGGCACAATAGTTAATGCCTGTTCTGGGAATGTAAAGTCAGTTACTTCAAAAGCCCACATATTATTTTCTATAATCTGTTACAGGTAAGGCACACAAAAGCTAAACCTGACCCCCAAGACTTTTACGTCAGCTTTTTAGTCTACAACTGAACTCACCTCCATGGCTCAACTTTCAGCCACAAGATAACCAGGCCTATAAGGTGAACAATAACACCAGGGAGGTGTGCACTCCTTAGAACAATCGACTCCGCGAGATCAAAAGGGCAGCATTTGCCTGGGGTTATGCTCAGGTGTGGTAGTTAAGGTTGTGTGTCAACTTGGCTGGGGCTAGTTGAAGGCTGGGCAACTGGATGCAGTTATTCCCATGAGATTGGTAATTAACTCCATGGTGGAATCTATCAGAGCAGCTGAGTAGCTGGTTTAGGGATCTGGTCTGCTTCCTGTATATAAGAAATAGCTTTGGGAATGGTCAGCTTTTTGGCACATTTCAATCCTGCCAAGTCATTGTTCAGCAACCTGCCAAGCCCTGCCAATCTTGGGACTTTTTTTGGACTTGAATTAGTGGTCTGCCATGTTGTTTGGGGATATAGGACTGTACCATTGTGTCAACCTTGGATTTGTTAGCCTCAGCAGCTAGTAAATGAGTGAAGAGATGCCTCTAGCTTCAGTGGGCCAGGAGCAAGAGGTAGAGCTGAAGCCCAAGGTCAACGGGCTTTCACACAGCCCCTACAGCCTGGCACTTGGAAAGTGGACTTCTGGCCTCCCAAACTGTTAAGAATACACTCCTGTTTGTTCGAGCCATTCTCATTTGTGGTATACTGTTGCCAGAGCAGCACTAGGCAACAAAAACAGAAGGCAAGAGGGGATAGGAAAGGGGGAGAATGGTAACAGTAAACATAGGGAGAAAATGGGAAGAATGCTGTTCCATTGTGTGGACTCCCACCAATGTCACAATACATGTATTAATTATAGAATGGACAACCAATTTGCTCTGTCAACTTTCACCCAGATCACAAAAAAAAAAAAAAAAATTTGCTAACCCCAGTGTGTGATGGTTTTGTGTTAACTTGGCTGAGCTATGATTCTAACTGGGAGCTCTGGTAGTGTAGTGCCTAAGGCACCTGACTGCTAACCAGAAGGCTGGTGGTTCAAACCCACCAGCCACTCCTCAGAAGGAAAGTTAGGCAATCTACTTCCATAGTGATACCGCTTGGAAACCCAAGGAGGGGTCGCTATGAGTCAGGTCCAACTCGACAGCACATACCATGACTCTAACTGGTTTAGCTGTTCCGATGTAGTCATAACTCATGAAGAGACCTGATACAATCACCTCCATGATGAGATCTGTATGAAGAGTTGTAAGGGTGTTTCCTCAGGGGTGTGGCCTGCTTCCAATATGGAAGCCCTGGCAAAGATCTCTGGCCTTCTGCTGGCTCTGAAGCCTGCATCTGGCTCATCACTATCTCCAGTTCCTGGACTTGTACCAGTGGCCTGCCGTATTGCCTGCTGATCTTGGGATTGTTGCCTTCACGGCCTGAGCCAACAATCTGCCATTTTCCCTGCCTATCTTGGATTTGTCAGTCTCTGAAGCCAGCAGCCTACTGCACTGTCCGCCCACCTTGCGTTTCTCAGTCCCTGTAGCTGCGTGAGTGAGATAAAACATTAAGTTTCACGTTTGACCCCCGACTTGGGACTTGCCAGCCTCTACAACTGCATGACCTATTTCCTTGAGATAAATTTCTCTATTTTTTGAATTTATTTTTATATACAAGCTTTACTGGTTTTATTTCTCTAGAAAACCCAGCGTAAGACAATGTATTACCCAAAGAAAAAGAAAACATGATTCTACCCTCTTTATTATATAAACAGTTTTATTTAACAATTCTACCCATGACATACATAATTACATTATAAACTGATAAATGAATTCTAGATTTGAAGAGGCTTAGGAAATAACCTTTTTGCAATGATGTCCAGAGACAAAAATGAACATTTCCTCTTGGCCAAAAATCTCCGGGACCTATTCAACCTCTGTTGCCTCGTCTTCACCACATTCAAACCGCACAAAGTCTACTACAGACACCCCCTGGGGCTGCACATACTGTCCCAATGTGATAGAAGGATCCAGCAAATATGGCTGGGAGAGCATCTTGGTTTCCGCCTCTCCCCCAGGCTCATCGTCCAGGGAACCGACAGAGAGAGGGGCCATGCCCACCACATGCTGCCCAAGGCGGCGACCAAGGTCTTCAAGGTTTGCTTTCTGCTCAGACGTCTCACAGACAACCAGGGCGCCATACTTCCCCAGCACCAGGTTGTGGAGCAAGGGGCTATGTGTTGCTCCATGGACATAAGAACCAACGTAGAACCCAGATGGCACCTTCACCCATGCGGCTCGTTTAAGGGTCATGTTTTCTCCCAGGCTCCCTATTGAAAAAGCAAAAACAAAAAACCAACACACCACCAGAATACAATGCCTGTGGTGGTACTAAAACATGCACCAAGGAGGCCAAATCAGACAAACAGTCCTTCTGCACCTCGATTTGCTGTAAGACGGAGAGACACCACTTTTCATTTTTGTTTAAAGAGAAAAAGGTCTGCATGGCGGTGGGCGCTGCAGAGTACCTTCACTGAGCACCAACTCTGTGCCAGGCACTCTGGTATTTAAAACATGGTTGTGGTGTCACAGAGACCCTGCACTCAGGTCTCTCTTCTGCCTCTTACTGGCTATATGACTTTGGTCAAGTGACTTAATGATATAATAACCCAATTTACTAATTTAACAAGCTTGGTTTTCTCATCTGTAAAATGGAGATGATACCATCTACCTTCCAGTGTTACTGGGAGAAATAAACAAATATGTAAAAGCATTAATTACAGGGTCTGACACACAGTGGCATTCAAATGCCAACCATTATTATTACATTAATTACAGAGAGCTTTACTCATCTGCCCAAGGTTATATAGCTAATGAACGGCAGAACTAGAATTAAAACTCAGATCTGACTCCAAAGCAGTTAAGTGCTCCCCCACCCAAATTACTATCCCTCCCCTATACCCCAACAATTGCCACAGACAACACTTGACCACCCCCGTATCAGGAAAAGGTCCACACAATTAAAAGCCCCAGAAAATCTATGTCATCTGATAGTTGCACTCTCCTCTCATCAAAAACAAAAAGGTAATACTGTCAGAGTTATTTTTAAGAACCAAAATAGACTCTGGTTTCCCTCTAAAAAAAGTCCTAATATAACAAAATGGAGAATAAACAAAGGGCCCTGTATTGTCTATAACAGGCATGAATAAGGCATATCCAGAACCAAAATGAAACTCAAAGCAGCTACCCAATAGTTAATTCCCAGAAATTGAGAAGACTAAAGCACCTAGTTCTTCCAGAATTTCTTAATAAGCCTCCATATACTGCATCTGCCTGGTTTCTCATCCATGACTCACTGAATCATCATAAATACTGCATGATCTCATAACAACAGAAGTAATCCCTTGCCTGGAAGCTTCAAACGAGCAGTTAAATTCCCAGAAAACTCCAACCCCTGGTCTACTTCCCTTTATCCATCAAGGACACTGAGGAAAAAAGGAATATCCCACTAGTCTCACCACCATGATCTAGATATGTGTCCTACAGCCAGTGGGCTCTAAGAGAATGGACCTACACAAAATCTGTTGTTGTTGTTATTTGCCATCGAGTCGGCCCCAACTCATAGCAATCCCTCCTTGGGTTTCCGAGGCAGTATCACTACTTCCGAGGAAGGCTGGGCATTCCTACTTCCGTAGTGATACTGCCTCGGAAACCCAAGGAGGGGTCGCTATGAGTCGGGGCCGACTCGACGGCAAATAACAACAACAGATTTTGTGTAGGTTCATTCTCTTAGAGCCCACTGGCCGTAGGACCCATCTAGGACCAGGTTAATTAATTAATTAATTATCCATCTATTTACAAAAAGAGGTCAAATTCCTAAAAACAGTGCTCTTATATTCTCCTGGGCCCCTTCATAAAGAAGGTAGAATGACCTTCAATGCACTAATTCTCCTAAAGTGTATCACAAGGTAGCCAACTGAAGTCAAAGAGCCATCCCTGCATCTTTAGCTAAAGACATGCTTTGTTTGGCCAGCAAAGTGATGGCCTGCACACAGTTGAAAATAATTTTAATTGCAAACAGCTAAAAATTGGGAGATTTTTACATACAAATCTAAGTTTTTTGAAGAAATTTGAAATTCTAACAGCACCAGGACCCATTTCCCCGATGATAATAATTACCTCGGGATTGGGTACGGCTGCCTCCAGCAGCAGAGCGTGAGCTCCTCAGGGTGCCCACTGCTCCACAGCATCTAAAATACAGCCTGCTTCTCACATCTACACTGTCTAAGCCTTACAGGCACAAGAGCTTGTAGTTCTTCATCTAGATTGGGAGGAACACCAAGGGATGCAGCCTTTAATTGCCAGTTTCCAAAATCCTTACAAATACTCACCAATTGCTAGGGTCAACTGATCCTTGAGAGAACCTTCTCTGTCAGGTCCTGCTCGAAGTTCAGAGAGCTCAGAGGAATTCAGAAAGCCCTGCACGCACAAAGAAAACAACCATGAACCGGTTATGCACTACTCAAATGATCAAGATAGTAAGCAAAAACAGCTGCCATTTCTCAGAAAATGATTTAAGATGACTAAGTACAAATTGATGATATTTTCATTAAACCAAGGATGTTAAAAATTTATAAAAGGTCCATTTTTGCAAACATTGTATTATACCACTGACCCACCCCTAATTCTACGCCACTTCCATTCTTCAGCCTAACTTTTTAGAACATAATTTCCTAGAAATCAGGAACAATACTTTCATACCATCATGAAATATTAATGCTAGAACATTTGTAGATTATTGGTGGCAATGTAAAATGACACAAACTCAATACAGGAAAATTTGACAACATCTAACAAACTCATATATACAGTTATCCCTGTAACCCCATTTCTAAAAATTTACCCTGAAGACACACTTGCAACAATATAAAAGTAAATAAGTAAAGTTATTCATGGAGGCATTATTTCTAATTGTAAAATACTGGAAATAACCTAAATGCCCAAACCAAGGAAGAGACTGGTTGAATAAACCACAGCACAGCCACACACAATGGTGTACTATGTGCTGAAAGGAAAAAGAGGAAGATCTCCATGAACTGCTTTGGAGTATTTCCAGAACATACTGTTAAAAGAAAAAAAACAAATTAAAACATTATATACATATTATGTCACCATTTGTATCAGAAGCATTTATGTATACACTTATTCTTAAAAAAAGAAACACTGAAAGGATAACTAGAAACCAGTGAAGTTGGTTATCTACAGGAGTGGGTAGGAACCAGTAGAAGGGGGAGAAGACCAAAAACCCACTGCTATTGAGTCAATTCTGACTCAGTGACCCTGTAAGACAGAGCAGAACTGTCCCACAGGGTTTCTAAGGTTATAAATCTTTACAGAAGCAGACTGCCGCATCAGCGGCTAGTGGGTTGGCAGCTGAGCGCTTTAACCACTAAGCCACCAGAGTACCTAAGAAGAGAAGAAAAAGTAGTAAAACTTACCTACTTTTTTTTTTTAATAGTTTTAAATTTTGGAACTTTGCTAATGTTCTGTATATTCAAACTATAAAATTAACAAGGATATGGAGAAAAAACTACAACAGACTAAATTCATGATTCTTAATTATATTTCAAATGAATAACACTACTTCACAGAGGGGAAAAAAAAAAAAAAACTAAACCAAATAACTTTTAACAGAGTCCTTTGATCACATACCTTCAATATAAAGACAAAAAGAACTACAGAGAAATTTTTCAATTAGTAAGTTTGTTATTTGCAGTGGCCAGGTGTAGCAACTCTGAAATAACTGTGTGCATATTGTAACACTGAATAAATGGAAACATACCAAAGTTGCTAGCAGCCAGGCTTCTCACCAAGCAAGGAAGACAGAACAATAGAAAGGGGGAAGGGAAGGAAGCAGCCTGTAGTGCTGGGTTGGAATTGAAGCAAACATGCATAACACACACCTTCTAGTTCTGTCTGCTCAAACAGCAAAGAAGCAATACCCAGATCTTGGTTTCTAATACTATTCCCCCAATGCCATTCCTCAGAAAAGTGTCAATTCCATGGCTGGGACAGGAAAAGTACAATAAAGCCCAGAATATGTCAGAAAGTTAGGAAATGCTCAGTAAATGATGAGAACATATCCAACGGACACACCAGTCAGCTTTACCAGGCTCCCAATAGCCAAATCCAGGGATAGTCTGAGCATCCAAATATTAACAAACGCTGACTCTACAGAAAGAGTCCAGTGGAATTCATGGTAGGACTATGGCAACTTTTCCATAAATCTGAAAATTTTCAAAATAAGAGTTTAAAAAAATCCAAACTAAAGATCAATGAAGGGAGAGATGACTAAAAGGGACTAGAGTACCTTGTTACAGATAATGAAACAGAGGCCCAGAAAAGTAAGTGAATGGCCCAGAGTTGCAAATAGAGTTATTGGCAAAGCCAAGACTAGAATTTTTAGTCATCTACTCAACACAATTCTAAAAAATAATCTCATTACAGTTTTCCATTTAATATGACTACTTAATGCCATTAACAATTACATTTACCAAGAGATCACAAGAGAAGGATAAATAGGAGAGAAAAAGGTGATAATAGTAACATTATTCTGAGTCACAGGTTCATTTCTGCCTTGACAATAAGGCTGAATCAAAGGCAGACTGACATAATCCTTCCCTGGTTTTCTATAAACCAAACCCAAACCTACTGCCATCGAGTCGATCCCAACTCATAGCAACCCCCACTGGGTTTCCGAGGTGTAAATCTTTACAGAAGTAGATTGCACAGTCATGCTTTCATGGAGTGGCTGGTGAGTTTGAACTGCCAACCTTCCAGTTAGCAGTCAGACAGCTTAGGCACTGAGCTACCAAAGCTCCCTGGTTCTTCTACAGACAGTGCTTATTCTCCTATATCGCCTTACCTGATCTCTCTACTGAGAAGCCCTTTCTCAGACCTTTCCAGATTTCTGATCATAAAGCCTCAAATGACTTCACCTAATTTGGCTGAACTCTATCCCACTGCCATTCATTCACTCACTTAACAAAGATTTACTGAGCCCCAACTAAGGGCTGGGCCCAGTTCTCTTTCACTAGAGATACAGTGATGAATGCAAATTGCCCTTATGAAGCTTACATTGTATTTAGGAAGACAGATAATATACAAATAAATAAATACACAATATATAAGCACTATAATAATAATAAAGAATGAAAAATGAGGGCATCCCTCTCTGAGGAGGCCACATTTAAGCACAGACACGAATGAATGAAGTAAGACATGAGAGTATCTAAAAGAAAAAAATTAGGAACAGCAAGTGCAAAGACCTGGAACAAATTCATCATGTCTGGAACCAACCCGCCAAACTCACTTTACTGTATGTGAAGAGTTGATCCTTTAAGCTCTGACAATGCAGTAAGGTTCCAATGGCCACTTGCTGGACCAACTGTTGGAATTTTGAATTTCTGGAAACAAAATCTGTCTCACAGTTTACCTGTGGGAACAAATTGATGCTGCTGTATCAGTTGTTTACTGACAGTTTCCAAAAATGCCTTAAGAGTAAACCCAGGTAAACAAGCTGCAGACTCAACAAAACAGAAATAAATGACACTTGAATTTCAAAGCCTCAACTCCTCTTCTAGCTTGAGGCCAGAAATTCAATGAGGTTATTACTGCTATGGCAATGAGTTAGCAATGACTTGCTCATTCAGAAGACAGTTCCATAATGTCCCTGAAGGACTCACAACAAGTTCACCACCTGCCTGTGGCTGCATGGCATCATTACTTTATTCTCTAGTTGCCTCCAACTCCAAATCATTTATTTATTTTTTAATTTTTATTTTAATTTGGGTGAAAGTTTACAGAGCAAATTCACTTTCCATACAGCAGCTCACATACTTTGTCTCATGACACTGACTAAAATTTACCACAATGCAACAGCTCCCCTCCCATTTCCTCCCAATAGTTACCTCTTCCTTGTGTCCTTCCCTCCCGTGCACTCCTGCCCCCGCCACTGTCTCCCTGTACATACACAGCCCTTCTATTCCCACATGACTGATCTCTCCAAGAAGTGTATCTACCTATTGTAAATGTTCAGCTCATATGTCTGTCTTTTTTTGGCTAGAAGCCACAGGAGTGGATTCAATTCCAGACCTAAAGGGCAACTAGGGGCCATAATCTCAGTGAGTGGTTCCATCAGACCAGCAAACCTGGTCCTTTTTTTTTTTTAAATGATTTTGAGTTTTGTTCCACATTGTACTCCCACTCTATCCAAGATCTCTTACAGAGATCTCCCTCTGAGTGGTTGACAGTGGCAGCTGGGCACCATCTAGTTCCTCTGGACTCATAGACATACAGGCTGAGGATCACATGGTGTACCAGTTGATTGGACTATTTCCAAGTCTTTCGTTTTCTTCATTTCTCCTTGCTCTGGATAAGAAGAGACCCATCATTGCATCTAGATGGTCGCTTGCAAGCTTTTAAGATCCCAGTTGCTACTCACCAAAGTAGGATGTGGAACAATGTTTTGGGTAGTATGTTATGCCAATTGAGCTTGATGTCCCCTGCACCTACAGTCTTGAGCCCACAGATCCAACAACTCACTCCCTCTGGGTAGCTGGCTGTGGCCAAGAAGTGACTACAACCTTGCACCTTGTCAGCTCTACTATATACCTGGGAATTCTTACAGAACATACAAATACACTTATAGAAATACTGTCTGCCAACCCTATACATGGTCTTGGGCACACTCCCCCCTGCATAGACATACCTAATAGTTCAGCCTGTCTACCCATCTAATCACCTGTAGATTGATGCTTACCTTCACTGACAACACAGTACTGTACGTGTAAAAGGGTTCACCTTTGTTGTCTGTACCTCCCATGCACTCTCTCTGTCTTCCTCTTCCTCAATGCTACTGTGTTCATCACTCACATCTAGTACATTGCTCTTCTCTCCACACCACTTTTGCTATTAGCGTGCTTATCCACTTCTCTCACTCTAATCACATCTGATTCATCACCAATTATGGCCCCTAAACCTCCTCTCCATCAACAAATTAATATAATTCCTAGTTTTAAACTCTACCTGCTCCAATAAACAATCAGTGACAAGATATAAGGAAAGTAAATTCACTGCTAGGAGTAGTTATTCTAGACTGCTAGCCTTTTTCTCATCAATACACCTATGCATTTCTCTACTTAAATGAATCCATAGCTAATTACTGAGGTCACACAAATTTAATTCTAACTACCTTTATGGTTCTCAGACATCTTTTAGAATGCCCAGTCTACCCAAAAGCCTTACCCCTGAGACAGCTATTCCTGATATCTAGAATTTTGACAACTCACCTCTACTAATACTGTTGTGTTTCCTTCCTGAAGCAACCCAATCAAGCCTTCTTTAGTCTTCCTCCCACGGAGTTTAGCAGCTTTGCTCCAGCCCTCCTTCTGGGCCTGCTTGTGGAGCCAAATCTCTGCCTACAAATTGTAAAGAAAAAGGACAGATGACAAAAATCACAGAATTCAGATCTGGATGAGAATCTATGCTCAGGTTTCCTGATTCTACTAAATTCTACAGTAGAAAAGAATTTATCATTTATTTCAGTCTACCACTAAAAGCCAAATGCCAGCCATTGTACCTGGTGGTTTGGGTAAGTTTAATCTTCAAAACAGCCCTAAGGTGGACCAGTTTTGTAGTTCTGATAGAGCCTGATGGAACCACAGAGACTATGGCCCCTAACTGCCCTTCAGGTCTGGAACTGAACCTACACATGTGGCTTCCAGCTAAACAAAAGACAGGTATATGAGTTGAACATTTACCTGAGGTAGATACACTCCTTGGAGAGAACAATCATGGGAGAAAGAAGGGCTATTTATGCATAGGGAGACAGCTCAGGGGGCAGGAGTGCATGGAGGGATGGTGTGATAGTTAAGTTTGTGTGTCAACTTGGCTAGGCCTGGTTGAGTGGCTGAGCAGCTGGATGTAGTTTTCCATGATGAGACTGGTAATCAACTCCATGGTGGAATCTACTATGAGCAGCTGAGTAGCTGCCTTAGGGAATGTGATCTGCTTCCTGTATATAAGCAGAAGCCTTGGGAAATGGTCTCTAGCCTATGGCACGCTTGGACCCTTGTCCAAGCATGTAGCCTTGTCATTGTTCAGCAGCCTGCCATGCCCTGCCGACCTGGGAACTTACAATGGACTTGAATTAATGGCCTGCCGTGTGGTTTGGTAACATTGGGACTGTGCCACTTTACTTATTGACCTTGGGTTTGTTAGCCTCAGCAGCCAGTGAAGAGCCTCCAGTTTCAGTGTGCTGGGAGCAAGAGGCAGAGCTGAAGCCCAAGGTCGAGGGGCTTTCACACAGCCTCTAGAGCCTGGCACTTTGAACTAGGACTTAAAGCCTCCAAACTATGAGAGAATAAACTCCTGTTTGTTAAGACCATCCCATTTGTGGTATATTTTTGTCAGAGCAGCACTAGGTAACCAGAACAGATGAACACAGGGAAGAGATAACTATTGGGAGGAAGTGGGACAGGAGCTGGTAATCGTAGTAAATGTCATGAGACGAAGTGTATGTGAACTGGTGTATGGAAAGTGAATTTGCTCTGTAAACTTTCACAGAAATCACAATTAAAAAATAAATAAATAAAAAGTCCTAAGGTACACATAGCAGTATCTTCATTTAAGCTAAAAACATTACGAGAAAAAAAAAAAACATTGCAAAACTCTGGAGGATTAAGATGTCTAAAGTCACAGGGTCTGTGTGAAGGCACCATATTTGAGACTTGGCCATCTTTAATTCCAAAGCTTACACAAGTCCTCTCCACAGCAGGAAAGTCTTGCACGGAATGATCTTAAGTCAACTGCTCCCATTATCAGGCAAAGCCAGAACTTCACCTAGCGCTCGGCCCTTATGGGTCAGAGGGCATCAGGCCTTCGGTTCCCTAGAGTGGGAAGTCGGGGCCTAGCACCCTGCCCTACCTCCTCCACCACACACACCTCTTTGAGATCCCCGCCACAAGTCTCCAGCGCTTTCTTGCAGTTCACAAAGGAGTAGCCCGTTTTCCGCCGGAGCTTCATGAGCAGCTCCTTGCTGGAAGACGAGGCAGCCAGCCAGGGCCCAGCGTGAAACGTGTGCCAGGGCTGGGGCGGCTGAAGCAGAAGGGGCCCCGCCTGGAGAAGGCAAGAAGATAGGGATGAGAAGCGAGAACCAACGAGAAGCCCTCGGGGGTGGGAAGCTCACGGGCTGGGAGGGGATCTGAGGCTGAGGCATGGGAAGTGGGAGAAGGGCAGCTCACGGGGTCTGGACAGCGAGGAGGAAAGGCTGTCGGAGTAACATGGGATGGAGTCGGATGAGGGCCAAGTGAAAGGAAGGGTGCGCTCCGAGCGCACGGGAGAGATCTGCAGGAAACGGAGGTCTGACTCAACAGTCGGTACCAGGGCCAGGACCCCTCACCGGGCGCCTTCCGGCCCGCGCCACCAGGCAGAAGCGCAGCGACCGCAGCAGCAACATCTCTTCAGGTGCCTCACACTCCACTGGCCGGCGCAACAATGAGAGACCGGCCTACGGCGTGACAGCGGGGCCAAACCTCTCCACACGAACGCGCCAAGCGAGGATGGCACCACCTACCGGCAGAAGGGGCACAGTCACCTTTCCCACTTGGGTCTACTGACACCACATTTCATTAGGAAATTTACCCGCCACAGCCAAAATAGCAGAAGGCATGAGATAAAGTTGTCACAAAATGATAACGATACAAGATTTTTAGGTAACGCTCTACGTTTCTTTATTTCCGCTGTGCTTCATTCATTATCCATTTCATTATTATTATCCATTATCCATTTCTGATTCACGACAAACTTGTGAGGTAGGCAGAGGTGCAGAAATTTGTCCACGGTTCCCTAGGGAAGTAGAAGTGAAGTCTCCTCAACACAGTAAATATAAGTTGAATAAATAATATTTATTGAGCACCTACTGGCAACTGTGCTCAGCTTCAGAGGATTGTTGTAAGCTGCTGTCAAGTCAATTCCAGTTCATGGCAACTCCATGTGTGCAGAGTAGGACTGCTCTGTAGGGTTTTCAAGGCTGTGATTTTGGAAGCAGCCTTCCAGAAGACCTGTTCTCCCAGGCACCTCTGGGTGGGTTCAAACCACTTAGCAGGATTAGAGATGAGTAAATCACAGCCCTATCTTCCTAGGTAACCTGACAGTGAGAAAGGCAGGAGCAGACAAATGACCACACAAGACTAGGTAAATCCTGTAGGATGAACAAAGGTAAGGGTTCCAAGGGAGAAAAAAATCACATCAAAATGGGAGGCTCAGGAAAAACTATTTTCAGGAAAGAGATGATATGTGAGAGGAGCTATGAAGACGAATACAGATTTTGACAGATAGAAATAGCCCTTTCAGGCATGAGATCATCATAAAGAACAAAGGAAGAAGTCAGGAAATCTTGGTGTGGATTTAGGAAAAAAGAGGAAACCTTGTGTAATCTGACCAGAGGTTCCAATACATATAGGAGAAGAACAGGACATGGAACAGAAGGGTATTTGGAATCACATGGGGAAAGACCAAGTACCAAGCAGAGAAGCCTGCTTTTGCTTATATAGGTAGCAAGAGCTAATCAGAGCTGGTTTTGGAAGATCACAACAGTTTGTAGAATGGCTTGGAAAGAATAGAGGTAGGTAGTCTAGAGATGGGGATGTGATCTAACTGGAAGGGCCACAGTGAGAACAGAAAAGAGGTGAAGGCAAAGCATATTAGGACAGAAGAAATGATGGGGTTGAAAACTTAAAGAAAAATCAAAGAGAAGAATCTACTACTCAGTCCAATGTTCTTCTTCATGGCATGATGTTCTATGATCAGCGCTCCAGCTCCGAAAAGGATGAAGTAGCTACAGTCCAAAGGACAGCTCTGTGCCTAACCCCAGCTACAGTGCTGGGAGGATTGATACAATTAGAGCCATGGTGCCTTCCTGACAGACTCCATCTCTAGAAGTGAAAAATGGATGTTGTGAGGCTTCTTTCTTCTCAGGCCCAAGGGCAGTTACCTGAGTTCTTTGGATGCAGAAGAGATCTTTAATGTTCATTTCTTTCCCTTAAAAAAATCCATTCAGCATAAACAGATAAGTGCAGGACTGGAAGTTATCAGTGTCCATCTATCTATAACTACTGATCTCACATCCCATCTACCTCCCACCTAAAAACTGTGGACGCTCTCCCACTCTCCTCTGAGAATAAGAACTAGGAACCTCTTTTGTGCTCTAAAACCAATACTACTAGGGTCTTAGACTCTTAGCAAGGAGGCATCTCCCTGCATCTCCCCAAGAATACTTAGGGAACAAAGAGAAAAGGAGGAAAGAGAGAAAGGGTAGGAAAATCCATCCTTTTTGGTCCCCACATTTATGGGTCTGTAGATATGGCAATTCCTTCATTAGGACAAAGGGTTCAGAGAAGCAGAGGGGGTAATATCAAGCAGGTCTTGGTCCTCTGTGTCTGGCCCTATAGATGTTGACATTCACGTCCTCATCCCGCTGAACCAGCTCCAGTTGGAAATGCTGTGGAAGAAGGTGCTGAAAGAAGCTCTCTGTCCCATGTTCCTCTCTCATCTTGGAGGCCAGATAGATGGTGCCATGGGGCCCGCACAGGTGTTGAAGGGTCCCCAACAGCAGTGGGAAGGTGTGCTCCAGGTACACAATATCAGCCCCCAGAACCAGGTCATAGTCTCCAGGGAAGACATGCTGGTCAATCCCCCAGGACAAGGCGCAGACCTGGGCCTGACCTCCAGCTGGCACATTGGCCTGGACGTTGCCCTGGATCTGTTCTAGAGCCAGGGGCAGGTCAGTGATGGTAACATTCCCCCCTGAGAGAGAGGAAGGAGGAGAAATGCAAGTCAGAGGGACCAACCAAGGGTTTTAGGCTCCTGCCTAGAAGGTCCAGAGACCTGAGAACCCAGAGGACAATGTCTTGACAGCTCAAAGTCCATACTTAGGATTCTAGTTGCTCTAACCTTCACTTCACCCATGCCATTCTCGTTACTCCACATTCTACAACAACAACATTCTTGGTGAGTTAATCTTCAACCTCTTTGCCCAATACACAACAATCACACATCAGCAGAAGCCTGGGCAGGACTCAGCAGGAGATGGGCCATGTGCCCATCTCCACCGACACAAGCCCAGCCTGCACGAGTCTGGAAAGCTTCCCAGAAGATGTGACCTAAGCTGAGTCCTGAAGGACAAGTAGGAGTGAGTCAGGTGGAGCTTTCCACACAGAGAAGAGCAAGTACAAAGGCCTGGTGGTGAGATAGCATGTGCATTCAAGGAAGGCTAGATTTTAGAGAATGTGGAAGAGGGAGAGAGAAGTGTCAAGACAGGAAATTAAACAGGAGAGTGACTATGTCATGCTAAAGAGATTGACTAGATCCAGAGAGAAATGGGCTTTAGGGGTAGAGCAGGAGGTAAGAGATGATCATATTGGCATTTCAGAAAGCTTCACCTATCTAATAAAGATGTATTGAGCACTTTCTAGATGCTGAGAATACAGTGGCAAGTAAGAAAACCTCAGCTTTCCTTGAGCTTCATTCTCCAGGTAGAGATACAGTAGATACTGTAAAGGTAACAATTTAATCATAATCATGATAACCATTACAAAAAGAGAAGTAGGAAACACTAAGCATTCATTCATTCATTCATATTTATTATGTGCCTATGATATGTCAGGTACTTAGAATACATCAGTGAGCCAAGCAGACAAGAATCCTTCCCCACATGGAATCTAGTGGCAAGTAATGGACCATAACATACAAACAAAATTTTAAAATACCCTGTACATCAGATGGTAGTTAAGTGCTATGTTGTTGTCGTTAGGTGCCATCAAATCTATTTTGACTCATAACAACCTTTTGTGACAAAGCAGAAGTGCCCTATAGGGTTTTCTAAGCTGTAATCTTTACAGAAAATCACCAGATCTTTCTCCTGTAGAGTCACCAGGTGGTTTCAAACTGCCAACTTTTCAGTTAGCAGCCAAGCACTTAACTGTTGCACCACCAGGGTTCTTGACATAAGTGCTATGATGAAAGATAAAACAGGAAAGAGGAGTAAGAAGTTCTTGACAGATGGAGCAGAGAATGAAATTTTAAATTGGATGGTTAGGGAAAGTGTCACTGAGAAAATGATGTGTGGGCAAAAATCTGAAGGACATGATGAAGCAAACCATGTGGATCTCCCAGGTCAAAGTGTACCAGATGAGGGACCAGCAGCGCAGACTCTGAGTCAGGAATGTGCCTGGCAGGCTTGAAGAACAGTAGGCAGGCCAGGGGCTGGAACAGAGTGAGGGGGAGAAGTGTAAGGGCCAGATCATAACCAAGAAGGCCTTGTCAGGAGAATGTGAGAATTTGGGCTTTTAGTCTGAGGCTGTTGGAGAATGTTAAGTGGAAGAATGGCACATGTTACCCTGTGCTTTAAAAGGATCACTCTGGCTGCTATGATGAGAGCAGACTGCAGAGGAGCAAGGACAAAAGCAAGAAGAGCAGTCAGGAGGCTGCGGCTCAGTAAGAGATGATGGTGGTTTACACTTGGGCAGTAGTAATAGCTAAGAAGTGGCCAGATCTCAAATATATTTTGAAGGTTGAACCAACAGGATTTGCTAATAGATTGGATATGAGATATTAGAAAAAGAGAAGTTGAGGATGACTCCGAGATTTTTGGCCTTACCCACTAGAAGACAGAATTGTCATTCATTTATATGAGGAAGACTGCAGGAGGAGCAGATTTAAGCAGGAACATCATGGGTTCATTTCAGAACATGTTAAGTTTGAGATATCCATTAGACAACCAAATGGAGATGTCAAGTGGATTGTACAAACAAGTCTGGAGATAGAAACGGGAAAGGCATAGGGTCATCAGTATAGAGAGGGCACTGAAAGATGATGATGAGATTGCTTGGGAATGAGTGTAGATAGAAAAGGGAAGGAGTCAAAGGTCTGCTTCTGAGGCCCAAGGCACTCAAATTTTTGGTTATGAAAATGAAAAGGAACCAAAAAAGGAGACCAGAAAGGAGAAACCAGGGAGGAAGGTAGAAATCAGAAGTGTGGTGCCCTAGAACACAAAGAAGTGTTTCAAGGAGAAGGGAGTGTCGAATGTTGCAAAGTCAAATAACAGGCTGATAACTGACCCCTAGATTTAACAAAAGGAGGGCATTACTGACCTTAACTAAAGAAACTAGAATGGAGGGAGTATGATGAGACTCAAATCTGATTGGAAAGGACTGAGGAAAGAGGAAGACAAGAACTAGAGACAGCAAGTATTAACTCTTCTGAGGAGTTTTTTGCAACATAAAGCAGAGAAATCAAGTGTAACAAGAAAGGAATGTAGGATCTAGAATTTTTCCTTATAGGAGAGATTGCAGTATACGTGTTATATTGTTGTTGTTGGTATGTGCCGTCAAGTTGGACCCGACTCATAACGACCCCTCCGTGGGTTTCTGAGGCAGTATCACTACGGAAGTAGATTGCCCCATCTTCCTTCCGAGGAGTGGCTGGTGGATTTGAACCGCCAGCCTTCTGGTTAG